AGTTGAAATCGCTCTCGATCTGCTTGTCAGTGATAACTTTGCTGCTGTTGCCTTTGTAGGTGATCATTCAGTCTCTTCAGCCTGAGTGCGTCTAGACCACCCTGACAGTTCGACTTCAGGACGTTAGTCCAGGCTGCTGTGGACACGTTAGCAAGTTTTAAAATAGATTAGTAATTTCTTTGCTTGGATACAAGCATTTCAAATAGGTGCACAGCAGCAGCAGCTGTGTAATATTATATAATATATGGTAAGTAAGAGTGCATGCAGAATGAAGCTGTGCTGTGCAGGTTAACTGAGGTCACTATGCAAGAACCAATAGAGGCCTAAATGAAGTGAAGGCATTGCAAACTCAGCAGAACAATCCAAGACATGAAATCTACAATAGACAACTTTTATATTATTTATTTTTTTCATTGTGTCAGTTAGAATTTGTGGATGTATGTTGGAAATGGTCAGTATCAATGAGTCTCGCTGTCTGATCTGATCCAACACTGTAACAAATCTGCTGTGAAACGGCGCATACTCATATTGTGCGATGTTATATTGTTATCTATGCATTTCTTTCTGAGCGTTTGGGTAGATGCTCATCTTAAGTGCAGTGCGTCAATTAAAAAATAGCACATTGTAAAAGCTTAGTAGCTTTTGAAGAAGAAACATAGTATCTATATTGCCCAATGCTCATTGTTTTAGTATCGGTATCAGAGAATAAAATGTGATATCGTACCATCTCAGTTCTATGCATTATATATGTCTTTGTATATTACAGATGAGCTCTTTCTGTCACCCAGTTTAGCTGTATTCAGCATTAAATGCTAACTGCAGTGTGATTCTAATTTCAGGTTAAAGGCGAATTCCTTTGATTTTTTTTAAATGTTCTGCGTAATTAAGTGGTTAAGATGTAAACAAAGTCATTCAGAGTGCTTTGATGTGAAATGCTCTTGTTTTAGAGAATCTAACCGTGTCTGACTTGATTACAGTGGTGGTGATAGGAACCAGACCTCTGAAGACTTCAACACCTTCAAAAGCTCCCTTACAGGCAGTTAGCAGTTACAAAGTGGTTATGAATAATTTGCCTGATGCCTGAAAACATTGTTTTATGATAGTTTTGAGATATGGCCTTAAAAGTAATGGAGTTGAGGCACATGCTGGGCATTATAAGGCACAACAGTAGCTATAAGAAACCTTATTTTTTCTGGTTTTATCATTAACAGCATTGAATATAAAACCTCAGGAGACACATGTAGGTTCACTGGTCATTTTTGGTGGTAAATAAAGTGGCTATATTTGAGCTGACATCGTGACCTTTGGTGTCCATCACCTCATAAAAAAGAAATCAGAGTTGGTAAATATTTCCACAGTGAGTCTGAACGACTTTGTTTACATGTCAGCGGTTGAGTAATGGAGACATTTCGAGAGATCAGTCATTACTGAACATTCATTGTCTTACTTCTCCGTCTCTCCCCCAGGTCTTAACAGTGGACAGCCCAATAAAATGCCTGTGAGCACGGCGTGCTGTCTGTTGTAGGTGAGCACACTTGACTGCTGGACTCTTCACCTCGGCAAGCATCACTCTTCCCCGCACACCAATCAGAGGGAGAACATTGCCGCCCTCTGCCTTTGCCCTTCACCCCTCCTCCCCCCCTCTCTCTCCCTCCCCCTCGTGCTGTGGGCCATGTCTGGCAGTGGGGGGTTGATGGAGGGAAACCAAGCCAGAGAGGATGAGGATGCCAGGGACAGCTGCTGCGGTGAAGAAGACTCGTCGCCCGTGGTGGAGAGGCGGAATCGGAGCGGCATCATCAGCGCCCCACTCAACAAGAGCCTCAAACACTCCCGGGCGCTCTCCCAGTACATCGCAACATGCTCCGCTGCAGCCGCTGTCGCTAACGCTAACGCTAACAGACTCGCCCAGAGCTCCTTAGTGTCCACAGGGGTCAAGGCCCACTCCACAGCCGCCCAACACAGAGCCCAAGTGGGACTCACCAAACTGGACCGGGGGGCTCTGTTGTCCGGCCTGCTGGACTCTCCGAGCGGGCTGCATCTGGCCCAGGCCGCCGAGCTCTTACGGCAGGCCAGCATGCTGCTTCCTGTCTCTGACTCCTCTGGTCTTAACATGAGCGGAGACATGGAAGGAGTCTCAGCCTCCGATTCGTTAGGGAGCGTGACGGACTTCCCGTTGCTGAGCAATGGCGGGGGAGTGGGAGGTGGCTTTCCATTCCACCCGGGCCTCTTCATCATGACGCCGGCGGGAGTCTTCTTGGCAGACGGAGCGCTGTCCCAGGTGACGGGCGCAACGGAGCACCAGCAGACCCACAGCGAGATCACGTCGGCCATCAGCGCCAACGGGAAGAAGAAGCGCAAGCGCTGCGGCCTGTGCCCGCCCTGCCGGCGCAGGATCAACTGCGAGCAGTGCAGCAGCTGCCGCAACCGCAAGACCGGCCACCAGATCTGCAAGTTCAGAAAGTGCGAGGAGCTGAAGAAGAAGCCAGCCGGAGGCCTGGAGGTAAGATCATCCAGCACTCAGTGCTCACAGCAGTCGTCTTCTGTTTGTTCTCTACATGTTCCCTCAGACTCCTTAAACTGAAAGACTTGAGCACACCAACCCTGCGTTCTCCAATAAACACCAACAAACCCATACTGTTCTAGATTGTTCTTCCCAATTCACACTGGTCTAGAATGTTCTTCCCACTCAACACTGTTCCATAAAGTACTCTCCAGTTCATGCTGGTATAGAATGTTCACCCCAGTTTTTACTGTTCTAGATTGTTCTTTGACAAATCACACTGTTTTAGTATGTTCTACCCAATTCACACTGTTCTAGAATATTCTCCCCAGTTCACACTGGTCTAAAATATTCTCGCCAAGTCACACTGTTCCATAATGTGCTCCCCAGTTCACACTGTTCTAGAATGTTCTTCCCAATTGACACTGTTCTAGAATGTTCTTCCCAATTCATACTGTTCTAGAATATTCTCCCCAATTCACACTGGTCTAGAATATTCTCCCCAGTTCACACTGTTCTAGAATGTTCTTCCCAATTCACACTGTTCTAGAATGTTCCTCCCAGTTCACACTGTTCTAGAATGTTCTTCCCAATTCACACTGTTCTAGAATGTTCCTCCCAGTTCACACTGTTCTAGAATGTTCTTCCCAATTCACACTGTTCTAGAATGTTCCTCCCCGTTCACACTGTTCTAGAATGTTCTTCCCAATTCACTCTGTTCTAGAATGTTCCTCCCAGTTCACACTGTTCTAGAATGTTCTTCCCAATTCACTCTGTTCTAGAATGTTCTACCTAATTCATAATTTTCGAGAATGTTCTTCCCAGTTCACACAGGTCTACAATGTTATTCCAGATCTAAGTTGTTCTAGAATGTTTATCCCAATTCACATGGGTCTAGAATGTTCTTCCAAATTTATACTGTTCTAGAACCTTATACTATGTTATGTTATTCTGATCAATTCACACTGTCCTAGAATGCTAGAATTCTTGCTCTTCTAGAATGTTCTTCTCCATTGCCACTGTTCTATAATGCTCTGCCCCATTCGCACTGTTCTAGAAGGTTCTTCGCTGTTCACACTTTCTAGAAGGTTCTCCCCATTCACTGGTTCATTTGGCATGCCAGTTCTTATCATGGAACAGTATAAAGCTAACTGGCAGTATTCGATTGTTGGTATTTGTTGGTGTTTGTTCATGAATGATGTGGAAGGCCTGCTGACAAGTCTGGTTTTAACTGTTATAACTTGCGTATTAATTGTGTAATAGTTACCTTATAATTAATAGTAGTTACTGTATAATATGCCTGGAAGTGTTAACCTGCTAGATATACTGAACTTCCATTAGAATTGAACTTTCTGATTGAAATTCTCTTCCAGTTACACAATTTTTATGGTTGTTTTTGCACAAAACCTTAAAGTCATGCTGCTTTTTAATACACCGATCAGGCATAACATTATGACCACCTCCTTGGTTCTACGCTCATTGTCCATTTTATCAGCTCCACTTACTATATAGGTGCACTTTGTAGTTCTACAGTTACAGACTGTAGTCCATCTGTTTCTCTGCATACTTTGTTAGCCCCCTTTTACCCTGTTCTTCAGTGGTCAGGACCCCCATGGACCCTCACAGAGCAGGTACTATTTGGGTGGTGGATCATTCTCAGCACTGCAGTAACATTGACGTGGTGGTGGTGTGTTAGTGTGTGTTGCGCTGGTCTGAGTGGATCAGACACAGCAGTGCTGCTGGAGTTTTTAAACACCTCAGTGTCACTGCTGGACTGAGAATAGTCCACCAACCAAAAATATCCAGCCAACAGTGTCCTGTGGGCAGCGTCCTGTGACCACTGATGAAGGACTAGAGGATGACCAACACAAACTGTGCAGCAGCAGATGAGCTATCATCTCTGACTTTACATCTACAAGGTGGACTGACAAGGTAGGAGTGTATAATAGAGTGGACAGTGAGTGGACACAGTGTTTAAAAACTCCAGCAGCACTGCTGTGTCTGATCCACTCAGACCAGCAAAACATTAATGGACAATGAGCATAGAAGCAAGGATCGGTGTATATAAAGAGTGCTATACACAAATAAGGTTATTAATAGATAAGAGGTCCCTGTGTGTCCCTATTATCATGTCTTTTTTGCTGCCGTAAGAGAAAAAGGTTCTGCAGTGTTGGATGGAGAACTGTAGCAAAAGATACATTCAATAGCAAAGTCTCCAACGGTGGCCATCACAGTAGCAATAACTGACCAGAAGCTACAGTAAAACATATGTACATATGTATAGTGACACCAGCTGTCCCAGTATTGCAAATATAGCATCTGGTGAACATAATGAACTGAGATCTGAGGGCAGTCTGATTTGGAACCATTTCAGAGTGTTAGGACAGACCCTGCTAATAAGTGTGGATTGATTCCATTGCTGTGCTTACAGAAGTAGGTATTGCTTAATATGCTAACCTGCAAAGCATTGTGGTTGTCAACCCCATTCAGATCAGGTAAGAGAGCGTAAGAGAACTCTCATAAATGCATGTCACAATTTGCAACTGCAAATACGACAATGTGAACAAGCTAACATATGGGTTAGGAATCAGCACAGGTCATTTTCATAATAAAGGTCACTCTCTGTAGTATCTGTATTTACCACTCCAGTGCAGTGTTTCCCAGTCCCGTTCTTGGAGAACCTCCCGCACTGCTCTGTTTATTTCCTTTCATCTAACACACTGGATTCTCCTCATCATCTAATTATCAAGCTCTTCATGAGCTGAATCAGGTGTGTTGGAGCAGTAAAATTGCTAAACAGGGTCACATCAGGGAACACCAGGACAAAACGTAGGAAACACTGGTTTAGTGGACCCTAGTAGATACAGCAGTGGCTGACCTCCAGGAGTAATGTAATTCACTTCTTCCCTAACCATGACGCTGTTCATCCATTAGGAAGGTCTCGAAACTTAGAGCACTTATCTACAATCAGTTATAATGTGATTATATGGATAGTTGGCACTAATCCTAGACTTTCATTCATCAGCTGATTAAATCATTGAAGTCCTTTTTTTGATGACAGCAGATGGTGAATGTCTGAATAGGCTGAATCAGGTGCATCGTTAATTTGTGTGAATGGAATATTTGACTTTACATATGCTTAGAAGTGGGAAGTATAGTGATATTTATTGTTAAAAATTACATCACAGTGTGCTTTTCTGAGCATATCCTGCCTGTACAGTGTGACACTATTGTCGCACATGCTAGAAGAAATTATCCATCCATCCATCCATCATCTAAACCGCTTATCCTTCTGGGTCGCGGTGGGGTGCTGGAGCCTATCCCAGCTGTCATTGGGCGGCAGGCAGGATAGAAGAAATTAGTCTTGTGCAAATACGGAAAAGATCACAGTTCCAGTGTGGGACTTTCATGTGTGCACATCTCCATTCAAATGTTTTGTCGGGTCTAAGTGATCATGGAAGACGTAGTCACTTATTTGTAGTTCGTAAGCTGTTCTAACAGCATGGCACTATATCGCCCAGCGTTTCCTGGCTGCTCAAGTGTTATCATCCAACTTACGAAGCAACTTCTAGTGTTTACAGTAGTTGTAGTCCATCAGGTAATATGAGACAAAAACTCAGATGTTTGTAATCAAAGAAATTTGTGACTTACTAAATGGCCAAAAGTATTTCATTCAGGGCTGCGATGCCATATTTAAAGCCAGCAATGGTTAAAGAGTTTATGGTTTGAAAAATAAGGCCTCCTAAATGCGTCTCTGCATTCGAGCACCCCATGCTGTGCCTGCTGTCTTTCTATCTTTAGCCTGTTTTGCCAAATTAACTGTTTAAATTAATTACACTTACCTTTAACCAAAAATACAACAGTATTGCCCAAAATTGCTGATGTTGCTAATAGAAGTGAAAGTGAGCAGCCACCAGTTAGCATTATGCAAAGGAATCTTACTAAATGGTGGCAACTAAATTTTTCTTTGGTAGCCAGATCTGTTAGCACTTTCAGTCAAACTACCCCTTTAAAATATCAACATTTACTCTGTTCTCTGTTAAAACATATAGGTATAGTCTTTATGCAGCAGTAGAGGCTGTAACTCCATGATGTACATAATTGCCCAGTTATTTTAACAGCTGGGGTTCTTTATCTTATCCTATCTTATCTCATCTATTTATGTATGTAGATTTCCTGTGTCTACACGTCATATAAACACATCATATATGTTGGGAGAATTATCAAACATTGGATAAAAATGGAAAAATAATGTATACAAAATCAAAATGATGAACCTCATATACATTGTACAGTGTAATGGTTTAAAACAGTAATACAGTTCATGAATAAAATGAATATTTTGTGTAATAAGTTTAAAGGTTTAAGGGATGAACTGCATGGACATGTTATTCCAGTCCAGTTCTCTAAGGAAGAAGTTAAATACCTCAGCTACGCCATACAAAGTGCCTGTGTTATCACTTGCAAGTTTCCACTTGACCTCAACTTTTATGTCCAAGTCGCTAACATTTAAAGTGATGAGTAAGAGGCCTCAGGCCATCGATGCAGAGTGAAAGCAAATCCAGCCCAGGTTGTAAAGCCATCATTCATTCTCTTCTTTAGATGAATAGCAAATAAGTCAGCTGTGGATGTCTTTGGAAAGTGATCAGGTTTTTGGATTACGTAAACAGGGGCTCAAAGTTGTTTATGTTTCAGTTCTAGTGACCTGTTATAATTGGTGTCCTAGAAAAACACTTCCTACAGGAGTTCTAAATTAGACACATATTTTCAGCAATTACGGGAAAACTGTGCATTTCTCTCAGAACCGTGTACGCAGGGTACAGTGTGACAGTGATGATTATGCATGAAAAAATATGAGTCCGAGTGTTTGCGAGTATGTCTGTGTGTGTATGTGTGTGTGTGTGCTAGCCCTGTACAGTCCATCTGGTCATCGTGACTGTCATCTGGAGCACCAGGTGTCAGTGTGGCTCGGAACCCTGTCCTCACAGCACTGTGAGGCT